CAGTAGGATTCGGACCTTCCCAACACTGGATTTCGGTGTTCCTGACCCTTCCCTCAAACTAGGCTGGGCCGAGGCGGGCAACGCGAAGCGTTTACAATAATACGCATTGCATATGTGCATTTATACATGCATATATATATATATATATATGCATACACATCACACTTTATAACCACTTGTACTAGGGTGAGGGATCAAACAAACTTTTTAGGCATCAAACAAAACTTATTTCTGAAGATCAAAAAACATATTAGGGATCAAAAAACTTATTCTCATTGATTTACTATTAAAAATGAAAAATCAGAGGATCAAAACAACTTTTTGGGGATCAACAAAAACTTATTCATTTCGTGGCAGGCGAAGCACTTTCGCAAGGTCAGGTACAGATTTCGTGGCAGGCGCAGCACTTTCGCAAGGCAAGATGCTTTCGCAGGTCAGGTGCAGATTTCGCAGAAGGCGCAGCACTTTCGCAAGGTGCGGTACAGATTTTGCGGCAAGCGCAGCACTTTCGCAAGGTCAGGTACAGACTTCGTGGCAGGCGCAGCACTTTCGCAAGGTACGGTGCAGAGCTTGACGCAGGCGCAGCATTTTCACAAGCAGTGAAGAAAAATATACAGAGATATAAACATGAAGAAAAAGGGAGAAAACAGAGAGAAAGAGAGAGAGAGAGAGAGAGGGCGAGAAAAAAAGAAAGAAAGAAAGAAAGAAAGAAAGAAAGAAAGAAAGAAAGAAAGAAAGAAAGAAAGAAAGAATACAAGAGAGAGAGAGAGAGATGATTCGAGGAAGTGATGATTCAGCAAAGGGCGCGTTAAGCTTTGTACACATTCTGAAAATCAGCGGGGGGGTTGGGGGGGGGGGCGGCAGCCCCCCCATGATGTTCGAGGAAGTGATGATTCAACAAGGGGTGCGTTAAGCTCTGTAAGCGTTCTACAAATCAGCAGGGGGTTGGGGGCGGCAGCCCCCCCCATGATGTTCGAGGAAGTGATGATGCAACAAGGGGTGGTGATGATCAAAGAAGTGATGATTCAGCAAAGGGTGCGGTAATCTCTGTAAACAGTCTGAACATCAGCGGGGGGGCTGGGGGGGGCGGCAGCCCCCCCCATGATGCTCGAAGAAGTGATGATTCAACAAAGGGTTGTGATGATCGAAGAAGTGATGATTCAGCAAAGGGTGCGTTAATCACTGTCAACCTTCTACAAAATTATTCTACAAATCAGCGGGGTGGTTAGGGGGGGTTCCTTCCTTCCTTCCTTCCTTCCTTCCTTCCTTCCTTCCTTCCTTTCTTCCTTCCTTCCTTCCTTCCTTCCTTCCTTCCCCCCATAGGGATAAGTTGTTTTTGATGCCTAATACGTTTTTTTGATGCCTATCCCCTTGTACTACTTATTATACGAACCGGGCATGTCGGTTCACTTCATCGCACCAATGACCAACCTGAGCTGCCAAGCATACCTTCAGAACTCAGTCCTCTCCTGCGCTCTTCCGGATGCAATCTGCAGAGTGAGTGCCGGAACTAGCCAAAACTGGTGGTGCTGTTGCACTGGGCAGGCCGAAAGGGATTCGGAACGATTCGACGGAATGTGCAACTGCTACAATTGAAACTTTGGCAACTTTTGAAGAATGCTGAAGAAAACTGGCTGGACACGCCCAAATGGCAAAGCTGCTTGCTGTTGGCCACTTGCAAGCACGAAAAGGTGGAAAGCCGCCCCCTCCTACGTTTGATGTGCTTGAAAAACCGGGACCCGAATCCCTTCAGGGCATTGCCCAAAACCCCAGTGAAGCCCTGCAGGCTGCACAAGCTTGTGCGACCAGGGCGCGCTCGCGCTCGTGACGCTCGTGGTTGGGACTGGGGGAGTGGGGCAAGAAGGCCGGATCTTTGTCCAGAAGCACCATGCCTGAGCTGGACTCCACGCGGAGAAGTCTTGGAATCCGCTCCACCCAAACTCCGCGTTTTAGGTCGCAAGGTCCTTAATGCAAATCCAGAACCCAGCTGTTGCAGCTTGTTTGCAAGGGGCAAACAGTTGTTTATTTTGCTTTATCCAGAATATCAAGGGCAAACAGGGTGAGCTTTCGTAATGGAGTGTGGCAAGTGTGGCAAGGGCCGCAAAAATAGCACTGTTCACCCGCAATCATTTGATTCTGCAGTCCATTATGTCTGACGAAGAACAACCAACTGCAGGCAAATCTGGGCCCAAGGGAGGGCTTTGCAAACATTATATCAGGCAACAGCTTTTCGATAGAGGCCCCTACTACCCTGAAAAGCATGGCCTTGGCAACCGCTTTGCAATTGTGGTCGCGGGTTTTACAGGCTGCCGTCTGTGCTTTCACGTTGTCGAAGCAGAAACTCTTGAATTGGCTGCGCCCTCCGATATCTTCTGCACCGAGGCTTAATGTCAGAACTGGATCAGCCCTGGCTTGGGAACCCTTCCGGTCAACCTTGGGAAGGGACACTGAGCAACACATCAACCAAACATCCATGAGCCAGGCACAAACAAAGCTCAGCCCGGACCGAGCGATTCCACGGACAGTTGGGGGCAATCAACAGCATAGGCTGCCTGAGATAGCCTTCCTCGGATGGCTCATCATTCAAACGTCCGAACACTGAAAAGGAGCTCCCCTCAAGAACAGACTCGCCAAAAGCAGCCCACACGCTGCGGCCATCCGCTTCGAAATGCAGGGGCGTCAAAGTTTGAAACTTGCCAATCCACAAGGTTCGATCTGGAATAGAAGTGTCCAACCGTTCACCCTCGCTGTTTGCCAAGAATCCCAAACAACAGTTTGCAAAGTAATTTTCTATTCTGAGGGCACCGTTTCTGGGTTCTATGTTGGCTTGCAGGGCAAGATGTAAAACCCAGACTGGATCTCCGTACACCATTGGGAGAGCATAAGCATTGCTTACCAGGCCACTTTTCCTACAAGGAAGTCACCCAACCCATTTCCCCGCCTCATCGCGCCACAACCCTCCGGCCCACCAGGCAAAATTCATGGACATTTGTCACAGGATGTCTATCTGGCAAAAGGCTTACACTCCCTCCAACAATCATGGAACCTGGGAAGAATCCTTGCTTTTTGGGCAAGCTCCCTGTGTACTTCATCACGATTGTTGGAAAGGGTAAGGACTGGTTTCGATCAACCCGAAGATGGAGCCGGCGTCCGGGCGGCCCTTCAGGTCCACCTTCTTGTCACAGCTCACGCAGCGGGCAGCCAGCGGTCTGCGCCAAATCGCCGCGTCCGTCTCCTGGCGCTCAGCCAAGCTCAACGCCTCCAATTCACAAAGAGTGATCCAAATGAAAAACACAACAAAGGCCTTCAGCAAAAAGAGACGCAAAAGCCGGATGGCCAACGAAGGAGATTCCTCCAACAAAGACGACGAATTCGGGTTCCATGTTCGTTGATTCCAGGAGAGAACCCTAGGCCAACGGCACGGAAAGGTTGGATTGGCGCCGGAAAGCCGATGAAAACCCTGGCTGGGCAAAAGGCAAAAGACACCAGCATAGATTGCACATTCCGCCACACAGGACAAGGAGGTGGTGTGCTTTCTTGTTACGGTTTAGGCTTAGGGTTTTTAGGATTTTTAGGGCCTAGTTGTCTTTTGTTTGCGGGGGGAGGGGGGTTCGGTTTGGGGATTTTTTGTTTTTTGGGTTTTAGGGTTTAGGGCTGTGGTTTACGGCTTTCATGGTTTTAGGGTTTGGGGCGTTGGGGGTTGCGGCTTTCAGGGCTTTTAGGGTTCAGGTGTGGGGTTTAGAGTTTTGGTTTCGGATGTTTAGGGCGGGACCGTAGCTAGAGCTTCGCCCTCGAAAGCCCCGCTTCACTGGGCCCGCACACTGACTTGCTGTCCCAATGGGCCAATGGGCGTTGGGCAGATGTGCCGTAAGGACCTCCTCAGAATGTGGTTTGCTCTTTGGTTTCCCTTTAAAGCAGCACCAAGGTACCCTCCCCTAGGGCAACACGGGGCCGTGTACTTTGAAAAGGAAAGTGTTTTCAACACGGGGAATGGGGGCTCCATGGCAGTGCATTTCCCCGTCCTGTTCGCCAGCCAGAAGACGCTCGAAGCTTTGCCAAAGCCTCAGACTGGATGCTGACCGGTTCCATCGGGCTGGTGTGGCTGCTGTGGCCGCACTTTTGGGGGGCATGCCACTTGTGGGAAGCTCCTCTTAAGGGATGATTCCAATGTTCATAACAGCAGTTCACACCATTTGTTTTTCTGCCTGTGCGTTCATGCTCTTGCTCGCCGCGTCTGACCGCATCTGCAAGTTTCTGCTGTAATGCAATCCTTCCATGTGGCAGCAAGGAAACTCGGAACCCTGCAACTGGTTCATTGCAGTTTGCATTTCACATAAAGGGTCCAAGTCTTTGACACATAGGCTAACCAAAACGCTCCAGGGCTCCTGGGCAAAAGACAACCTCCTCTTTGCAGGCTTCCAGGTTGGCCTGACTAGCCTGCAAAAATGGCCATAAACTCCGAACAGGGCTCCCCAACAAGGAGGTTCCTATGAAGACTATGGTTTGCTGGTTCCACTTCAATTTGCAAGGGAATCATGACTGCACATTTCTGGACACGTTTTCGGCCTTCTTAGCCTGCCCTTGTGGCGAGCCCAAAGAACAACTTTGACCACTGGAACCCAGCGCCACCCATGGCTGTGTGTCAACATCAGGGACATTTTGGGGGGAGGTTTCAAGGAGAACCAAGGTAAAACCAACCTGTCAACTTTCGACAAGGTGCTACAAACTGTCATCCCCAGGGTGAACTCGTCATAACTTGGTTGAAATTCCCCATCCGAGGTGATGCACTCAACATAGCCCTGACTCACCCAAAATCGGGAAATCAATTTTGGCGTGCTGGTGCGCCCTCATGTTGGCCATATTTGTTCGGCCTGTGTTCAAGGGAAGCCCGAGGCACATGTTGGGGATTACCCTCTTTTTCTTGGCTATGTTCAAAGCGAAACCTCTGGACAACCTCGCTACCAAAATCGACAACCAAATTCTGGGGGCAGCCCAGGGATTTAGAGGGTGCCACTGAACTGGAACAAATGAAACCACCGAAACCGCCCGAGGTGCATTTGCAGCTGGCCCTGCAGAAGGCGCAGCTGCTCCGCCAGGAACTCCAGGTCTTCCGCCCGAGCCTGGAGCCAGGCTCCGCCAGAGGGGGGGGGAAGGGGATGGGGAGGTGCGGAAAACATTGCCAAATGACGAGGCGACAAATGAAGACACATACGGACAAATACCTCTCCACGTTAGGTTTCCGTTTGGCAATGATAAACATATTGTAACATTATGGGATTTTTCGATTGTTCTGCTCAGACTGTTCTCCAAGTTCGGGGGTCGAACTTGGACCTCAGACTTTGTGGGGGGGTCAACAGGAAACCAACAAGACAACCCGCTCAATGGGGATGAAACGGCCAGCTGCCAGGTGGTCGGTGCCTGTGTTTTGAGGCTACTTGCTGAGGTTGTGTAGAGGATCCCACTTTGGAGATGAGCACAACCCTAGGTTTTTCTTGGGACAAAAGAGATGGGTTCCACTAGCAAATCAGAAAAAGGAACCCAAATGGAGGCAGTGGAATCCATTGGTCAACCAAACTAGCCTTAAAAGGCATTCGGACGGGGTCAAGCTTGCCTGAAACGACTCCCCTAAAAAGCCATCCACTGGGCTTTTTGGGGCAAATCGGTGCGATGAAAAGGGTCCAAGTAAAGCCCTCGACCGCTTCCTCCTTCTTGCGGCGTTTGCTTGCTCCGAGAATCTGGACATACTAACATCCAATCAAGTTGTTCATTCAAGTCTATTGGCCTCTCTGTATGACCGCGGGCGCGAAGCGAGCTATCTATGTATATACGTGTATATATATATATATGTGTGTGTGTGTCTATGCCTCTCTCCCTAGCGAAGGTCCCAAAGGAGCACTCTTGGCCCAGGTCCTTTCTGGATGCGCTGTGGCTCGGTGACTGAGCTAAAATATGTTAAAATGGAGGGGTGTCAGGCATTTCATCCGTTTGGAAGCCGCGTGAAAACTGCTTCCTGGAGCCATGACAGAATCTGGTGGTACGATGGATTCTCCTATCTGATGGTACGATGGATTCCCCTAAATGTTGCAAGTGGACATAGTGAACCAACAATACTCACTCCCTGCAATTTGTTTCATCCCTAGCGCATGAAGGAATTATCAAACTTACCCACTTTCCAAAACCCACCTTCTTTCCTTTGGCACCTTCCGCGGTCGTTGAAGGTGGGTGACGGGCCAATTCTCCGAAGCTCACATGCATGCCTCTGCCAAACAACATTGCTCCCCCTTGGCTCAGGACAGTCGTGCATCCTCCTATGTCAAAATCTGAGATTGCTGTGGTGCCAACGGGTGTGTTCTAAACAAGGAACTCCCCAATTGAGCAATTTCCCGTTGAAGCCCTCCTTAAGCCACGTACTAAAAGGAAACAAAGCAAACCCAAACCATTAAACCGAAAGCAAAAAGGACAGGATGCCTTGCCCATCCTCTTGTCCAACGGGCTTGTGTGACCCCCCATGCCTTGTCCTCGATGGCCGTAAACAGCTCATTGCGGAGCTTCTCCATCTCGCTACGCATCACCTCGAATGGGGTCCAAAAAATGGGCTTGCCGCGGGGAAAAGTGGTGCGCCAAGGGTCCCAAAACCAAAAGCGATGTGTGCAGAGACACCACGTTGTGGAAATCTGACTCAGAAGAAGGTAAGGCAGGTCTCACATTGCCACCCGGTTCTGAGCAGCTTCAACACAAAAGCGCCGCAAAACAAGCCAAAATCCGTTCGCCAAATGCCAGCCCTTGTGGGGAGGAAGCCAAAGTCCCAGCCCTTGCGGGAATGTTCCGAGAGCCTTTTGAGACTAAGAAGGTGCTCTGAGAATGCACCCTTTTTCCAACAATCAGAGACATAGGTAGGAAGTTTCATGACCTTGAACGTAGAATGACTGTTGGAGAAAGGGGCCAGGCACACAATTCAGCCCAAAAGAAGCATCTCCCTTGCCGCGCAACAGCTTCGAACGCGTTGAACGTCTCCCGCAGCACTGCTGGCGACCTGAAGCAGGGCTCCATGGAGTTCGTGGAACGTCAACTCACCCAAACAGCAACGCAGTGTGATGGTTTAAGCGAAATCCATTGCTGACTGGGACTTTGCCTTGACCCTTTGTCGGCATGCAGTTGCTGTTGATTGGAGGGGTTCAGCAGTTCAACAAACTCATTGGGAGAAGCCATCTGTTCGAATGCTTCCCTTCCCTTCCACAAAAGTTGGCTGCTTCAAGCATAGGGCTCGGTCTGCTCCGGCAACTTGCCTAGAAAATGCGCCAGCAGGACCGCAAGAAACAAAGGTAACACCGGCACATGATGAACCAAACAACAAAACAACTGATTAAACACACCCAATTGTTCCAGCCGACTGCCAGCCAATACTACTCTAAAGGCACCCACAGGTTTGGCCAAAAGACCCCCTCTGAAACAAATTGCACCTCTCAGAACCCTCTCCGATTACAGACTTCCCTTTCCGGCCCAAACTCCAAAGAATCCAACAACCTAATTTTGCATTGCTAAAACTTTCGCCAATACCTTCGCCAATGCTAACTCCATGTGTGTTGCCATTCCAGAAATGAACCAAACGGCTAGCCGAAAACGGTAAACTTCTTACTGTAACTGCAAAATGCATTTAAAAACAAGGTTTAACAAGCTCGTAGAGGGTCTCTGATTAGTCCTGGCCCTCTCCAGCCCTAGACAATAAAAAGTGTGATTTCCTTCTTGGTTTCCTATTGCAGTCCTATTGGCCAAACAGGGGTCCACACGGGAAAGGACCGGAGAGGACTGGCCAGGTCCGAGTTCGCCCGAGGGGGGGTGCGGTTTATGAATCGTTTGCCTCCATTCTGGCTGACTAAGAAAGGGGTCAAGTTGAAGTTCCGAGAAACCGGAAAGGCTTGAAATCTGCCTGCAGGTCCAAGGAAAGCAACTTCGGCAAGAACGCGCTCAAGCGCAAAAACGGATAAAACTGCAACACATGTCCCGAAATGTGTAAGAAAAAACAGCATGAGTGTGTATAAACACATCAGACCAAGCGAGCACACGGTGATGGCCCAAATTGCGTTGTTCCTTAAGCCGGGCAGCACAAAGGGCATGCCAGACTCACCTCCGTAGAGCAGCTTTTGCATAGCCATCAGCACGTCGACCTCGGATGCAACCAGCCGGGCCGATGACATCCTTTTGAATGGGAAACTCGCCCAACGCACACCTTGCCCCATAGCTTAAAACGATGAATGCTTTCTCAGAGTAGGTGCCAATTGCCGACTAATGTTGGACTCTGTTTAGTGTGACCCACCCCCCCCCCCCCCCCCTGGAACAGTGGAACCAGTCGGCGGGACTCTCTTTAGGGAGATCCTGGGGGTCCGGGAGGGGCAGTACTTACTTTAGTATTGCCAATTCTACTTCAGTATTGCCAAGGCTGACTCTCAGATCCCCAGCACTTACTTTAGTATTGCCAAGGCTGACTCTCAGATCCCCAGTACTTACTTTGGTATTGCCAATTCTACTTTAGTATTGCCAAGGCTGACTCTCAGATCCCCAGTACTTACATTAGCATTGCCAATTCTACTTTAGTATTGCCAAGGCTGACTCTCAGATCCCCAGTACTTACTTTAGTATTGCCAACTCTACTTTAGTATTGCCAAGGGTCGTTTTTTCAGCAACCCCCGAAACCACTGGACACTAAAGAGGACCCCAAAACAATCGCATTAAAGAGGATCTGGGCCTCTTGTGGGCACCCCCCTTTGTGTGACTGTTTGCCCGCACTTTTTTGTAAAGCAGTTATCTTAAATTTGATGGTTTGGGGACCACTTCAAGAAAACAATTTCCCAATTCTAGCTCAGAACCAGCCTCCAGCTCAACAGGAGCTACCAAGGCTTAGCAAGTTTAGCCTGAGCCCGAGCAAATCCAGAAAGCGAAGAAAGTAGCTCTGCATTTTTTTGTTTTTTTTTGGGGGGACAAAAACTTGCCACAATAGAGAACCCCTAAAACACAGGATTCTGAATTAGGAAAAACATTTCTGCAATAGCGAGTATTATTGATAAAGGAGGTCCAACATTACGTGAAAACATGACACAAACAAACAGTTCCATCTCTGACCGCCAGAGCCGAAAACTCACTTGCGATCAATTGGAGAGCTGTCAGCTGAAGCCTCCCGGCTTCCTTCGGGTACGGCGGATTCCCTGGATGCAAGTGTGGAACTTTAGCAATTGTGACTTACCATGGCTTGTTTGCCAGGTTCTTGCACTACTTAAGGAAGGGCATGCCTTTAAGCCCTCTTCTTCCCGCTCAAAAGGTACCAAGCAACAAAAACTAATGACTGCAGAAGCTGCTGAAGCATGAACATGCAGCAGCTTGTCGCGGGAAGGGGGAACACAAACAAGACCGACAGTGAACATGATGGCACCGCGGCCAACATGATAAACATGTCCACGGCAGCGAAAACAGCTACACTACAAGAAGACACAGGCACCAGCGACAGCAGCAGTAGAACTGATATAAACGGTCTCAGTGAAACCGAAAACATGCCCCCCACACCCACAAAACAGTGCCCATTTGAACTCCAAGCAAGGTTTCGGAAGGAGAAGGCCCATGTCAGCAGGATTGGGCCCGGGCTGGGCCTAACCCTTTAAGCATAAACACCATGTTTTAGCATCTGTCTTGGTTCCCATTTCAAGGTGGTCTGTGGTTCTGGTTGTTTCAACAAATCGGCATCAAAACCGAGGTACCCCCAACATGTTGGCTTTATGGTTTTGTTACACCAACCTCTAGAGGACAGCCTCAAAAGAAACCAACCCCACACACCCCCAACTGGTGCCCTGCCTCAGCGTTTCCGGTGTCCCCGGTGCCGGCGGCAGCTCCGCCCCGCAGCAGCTCAGCCAGTAGTTGCATCAGCTGAGGCATGGCGGCCTCAAAGCGCGTCTGCCTCGGAGAGAACGATGCGGGGTGAGGAAGCCAAAAGGCCTTGTAGGGGTTGACAGGGTTGAAACGATACATCCCAAACCCACCTGATTTGCAGGGGATTCTCCAAGTCAGCTGGACATGGTGATTTTCTATCGCGCCCAAATGCATCCTTGAAGGGTAGTTATGCCCACTGTGAACTTGGCCCTTTTGGATCCATTTAGATGTGCCAAACATAAACAGTGTATTCCAAAGCTGTTTGGGTCATGTTTCAAGGGTTAAATATGTTTTTGAGTGCGCAATTGATACAACAAGCGCCTCTTGACATTTTGGAGATCTTTGCATGTTGTAAGGGCACGATGTGGTGTAGATATTTCAAGGTGAGGTTCAAAGATTGCCGTCGCTTTGGGCGGCCAGTTGACACTTTGGTGGCTGTGCAGCCTGTGGGGTCAGGAACTCGGGGCATTCGTGCACCTCATCTATCATGACGGCAAGTCACAGGTCGCATCCTGGTATCCAATGTGCAACAACCCACTAGCTGAGGGCTCCGAGGTTCCTACCATCTTCCTACCCACTGAGGATCCACTGCTACAAAACAACATAGACCGCTCTACAGTTGCACTACGGTTTGGAGCCCTTTGCCTTCTTGTTACACGCTCACGAGCTTACCCATGATTGGCGATTAATTTGGTGGAGAGGTCGGGGGGGACCTTCCCACTTGGTTTCAAGCGGAATGAGGGGTTCAAACTCTGGAGTCACAAGCAAACCGCCAATCAAGTGCAACCATATCCTGGCGCCTTGGGAACAACATCAAAACCGCTCCGGCAGCTTACACGGCTTGCCGAGGCGCATCTTTGCGAAGTCTCTCGTGGCATCCTCGAGCTTGGAGGATAGGATGCCAAGGGTGCGCTGGTCACCACACACGGCACACCAAATATTCATCATCTCCCGCTTCATGTTGTCATCGAAGTCCTCTTTCCTTCAGGGGTCAAGCGCTTCAAGCCCAGTTTTCGTGCAAAACCAAAGCTGCTGCCCCAAGCAGAAAGCGGCTGAAAAACAAACTTGCTGCTCATCGTAGGCTTACGCATCAGCTGCCCAGCTTCAGGAGAAGGCTTGTGTTCGTCACATGTCATCATTTCCGTCATGCACACGCGCATCGGAAGTGACAAAAGGGCTAACTGGAAGCCAATTGTGCCCACTGACTTAAGCCTTCAACGTTCTGTTTCCTGAAATGTGCTGCAGCAGCCAAACGCAATCGGGGAACAGTAAGCCAGGGTACTGGCTTAAACGCCTTGCCAGGCTTGAGCAAAGGGGTCAAAACACTCCAGCAGAGCTGGACAATCTTCAAAGTCACCAATTGAAATCGAGCCAGCTGGGGGTTTTGATTATTGGATGAGATGTGTTGCATCATCCGAGCCTATGTGTCTGGTGAAGCTGCCGTGCTTCAAGCAGCGGACTTAGAGTGCCATACATCTTAATCCTGACGCAGAACGCCTTCCATGAATCAAGATCGAAATGGCAATCTAGCAGACGGAAAAGCCTGCGTCCAGGCAATGTGCCACCGCATGCGGCAAATCCTGCACCCGTGGCTGCACTGGACTCCCACCCTGCAGCCTTCCAAGGTCGAAGTTGGGGGGCGACGCCGACGCAGGCGAAGCCTCACCGGAAGCGCCGGGGTAGGGGCTGGCGGCCCGGCTGGGGTCCCTTCCGGTTCCGGTCTTCTGCCACCTCTCATCCGGGATCTGAAGCCTCGGAGTGCAAGCGAAGCCCGCTGGAAATCGAGGGAGCCCATCAGCCCCGGGATTTTTTGTTGTTCCCAAGTTGAACCAGAATCGGGCCCAAGGCCGAACCACCACATTGCCGGCGACTTCAGCAACTTTGTCACAAGAAGCCCATGCTGTTCATGCGCCGGGAGATGCCAACCAGAAACTTGTGCAACGGGGGGGGTGTTCAGGCTGTAGGCATCCAGTTCTGTCCAATCTTGGGCAGCCGAGTTCTCAAGTGACCACTCTGCAGGGCCAAGGCACCCCTCCAACAAGGCCACGCGGTTCTGCAGCCTTTGCATCTCAGCACCTCGTTGGCTCAAGGCCCTGCTTCGGCTCAAACGCATCTTACCACTGGTGGTGAATCCTGACGGGAGTCCTGGAAGCGTTTTTTGCCCTCTGGGACTGCACGGCGCTTTGGAGGGGGTGTAAGTTGGAGGCCAAACCGCTACCAACCCGGGGGGACGAGTGAATGAGGGTTGCACCAATGAGTTGAGTGCACGGATGATCACGGATACAAATAGCCTCGGATAAGCCATGGGGTGGAGCTGGCAACACACACGTACTCTCCTACCTGACATGAAACCATGTCGTTTCCTCTTCATCTTTGCGACAAAGGAGAATCGTCAGATATGCTTTTGGACCAGGTCAACTAAAGTGACAGCCTCCAAACTATCCTGCACATGGGTAAAGGGATCCCGCCAACGCGGAAAACATGAGAAGCCCTCGAAATGTTCACTGTAAGGAGCCCAGATCAGCGGCTACACCGTCTACCCCTGAAACAAACCCTCCGAGGCACGCAGCGCCAAGATCTGGCTGGTACCTTGGGGGTTGGGCGCCATCAGCTGCCCAGCGCTCGGCGTGCGGGCCCCGCAGGACTCTAACATGGCCAAGCGCCTGCAGACGATAAGACAGTACATGCCATCTTAATCCCAAAACTTAAAACAAAGTTTGGATCCGCAAGGGACCGTCAAGGTGAGCTCGCTTTCCGCAGTGAGCTTGCCATAAAAATTCGCAAATGTGATCAAATGTGATCCAGCCATGTATTGATCAGCAGATTAAACATACAGAAGTGCTGACCATGAATGAACAGATTCGACCGTTGCATATATGTAAATCTGTAAGTAAATTTATGTCAGACAGCTGTTTATATATGTTATGTATGAAAGGGTATGTGCAGAGTATACAAATAAAACGAAAAATGTTTGAGTGTGTGCAACATGTGTATAGAATTGAATGGACAGGTACAAGCTACTGTGCACTAACCCCCGGTCTACCGACCCAACAGGAGCTAGGTACACCATACAAGGTTGATTCCGCCAGACTTGTTGGCGCTCACGGAAGCAAAGCCGCCGCTGAAGCCACACCTAGATCCTTGGGTCTAGGAGGGTGTGAACAAACTCAAAAAGTAAAACGCCCGGTGTTGCTTCACATGTGATTCCTATCGCTATCTGTCTTTCTGACGAAGCTTCATTGAACCAGTCAAGGGTCGAAAAAACCTGGCTCTTATTTCGGCGAATTTAACTCACCAATACAAGCAGGTCAAAGGGGAGGTGCCCGTGCTTGCGCTAGCAGCTGCTTGTGCCCCTTTCAGGAATGTTCTTTTGGACATCGGCACCCTTTTTTGGAGACACCCCCAATTTTCACCAAAGCGCCAATCCGAACCTCAAAAACAACGAACGAACCACCCAAGTTAAATGACCTTTCGGCCAAGGCACTCCTCCAAGCAAGCACCTTCCAGCAAGCCGACACGCCCCGGCAGCCGCGCTTCCTGGCGATGAAAAGAAGCCATGCGTTGCCGTCTTTCCTTCCTGGGCGACTGCTTTATGCAACGAGCGGCGCAAAGGCCTCAATGCTATGGCACAAACAAGCCAAGCCATAGGACGCAATACCCATGACACTTGGCTATGCTTTCCGGCAAGTTGTGCGCAGCTAGCCTCAATGTGGGGCAACATCAATCTTTGAACCGGGTTGTGCGGAACTGATTCAGCAACCAGTCACCAAGGTCTCCTTGGGCGGAAAAAACAAGTTGCAAGTCTTGGGCAGCCCGGCACGTCCACTGCCTTTGCTTTCGAGCTTCTGCCAGGCAGGCTTCCCCTTAACCATCACCCTACCAAGGGGGGCCCCAAAGGTGACGTTCAAACCCACCAGAAATGGACATTTAGGGCCCCTTCCAGTTGCAAAGCTGAGATCCTGCCCAACCACCCGCCCACCCGTCCTCTAGCGCGAGGAGCCGCGCACCCAAGCTGCCTGATGTCGCCGCGGGATGTAAAGCCCAACAATGACCCTCCGTGGTAATAAATGGCGCCTGAGCAGGAACTGTTACATCACCAGGAAAAATGACTCTGAATCCGTCAAGCATCAGAGAAAACACCTCACCAAACCTCCAGTGGACATAGGACAAACAAGGGTACCATGTTTTGGGAAGTTGATGTTCAATGATAACCTCTCAACAAACAAGCCAAACAGGCACCTGGGCTGTTCACCCAACGCAGCGGCCATGCATCCTGGGGCTTGGTGCTTGGTCCACACAAGTTCTAGCCGTAAACAACTGGGCAAATCTGGGCAAAGTCTCTGGCGTTGAGCAGAAAGGATTTGTGTTTATGTTGCGTGTTTTTGCGGGTACCCTTTTTGGGTTCGTTTCAAGGGGAACAAAAGGACAACCACTCATTGTGGTTGAGTGGTGTGTTTTGTCTTGCTCATTTCGACAAATACTCATTTCAATATATAGCACCGACGAGTGCATACACACACAAATGCATGAGTGCATAGGTCTGGAGGGCCTGCCTTTGGTGGCACTCAAGTTCAATGCGCTCCAGGGCTGCATGCTAATACCATGGGCCATGTGCAGTTATTTGGCCGGGGCAACTGGAGACTGAGACTGTTGATTTACTTGTTGCGGTTCAGATTTTGCCGAGCTTGTTCAGCAGGCAGTTGGCCGATACCTGCTATGTTGTTTGAGTCCTCATTGAACATGGCCAAAACTCCATTTGCGCATAGTTGTGGCCAATCGGGTTGGCATCGGCATACAAACCGATTGAAAGGGAGCATGTTGGCGCTTTGAGAAGGGAAACCAGCAAAGAAAACACTGCATTGTAAGACGTTATCTCAAGGCAGTCATTCAACACGTCAGTGCAGCCAAAATACACAGCCCCCCTATATATTCCCTTCAAATATCTCTCCACCAACGGGAAACCCACTTCAAAGTTTCCAAAAAGGTGATGCTTAAAACCACCAAGGGGAAATATGGGAGCCCCGCTACGCGTAAGCCTTTCAACGAATCTCCGAAGTCCAGTTTGAATCAAACCAGGGGATTGTGCCAGGCTGCGCTCGAGGCTCTCCAGGCGATCCTTGAGATCCCGGAAGTGCTCCAGCTTTGCGTGCACCTCGTCCGCTGATCTATCTGGACCGACTCCCATTATTCTAATGGCTGCTGCTCGCAAATCTATGATCGAGTCCGAATCAAGTCTTATTTGGCTGTTCAAAACAGACAAACGGCCGCTTTAAGCGCCAAAGGGTAGCTAACCTCCAGCCTCCCCCCAAGAAGTCTTTAAGAGGAATACATGCTGTCAAAGGCCTCCAGTGAAGTTCCAAGTTAGCTGGTGGGAGGATAGATTGCAAACCGCCTGAACATGATTCAGGGGGCCCATGAAATGCGCGCTGTCCGTGACTGCACCATCTGGCAACGTGTCCGGCGCCGAAGTTTGGCAAATGCTGCGCGGAATCAATCGTAGGGATCTCGGATTTTGGGCGCGCATCACGTCCCAGGCCCAGGCACGCCAAATGTCTTGCCCTCGCGCATCTAACGACAACTGATATTATATAAAAACATGTATACACATAGATATACATTACTAAATACAATATCATAGAACAATATGTATATATTGTATATATATATATATACATATATACATACATACATTGTCAGACGTTGTTATTATACAAATTCCGCGTGCGAGTTAAGGGCTCGCTTGCTCCGTGATGGAACCTCTGCAGGCTGACCAAACAGCTTCAGTCTGTCAATAAGGTGATGGGGGGATGAATTGCATAGGGTTCCAGGGTGTGTTTAGAGCCTTTTTTGGGATAGGTGTTGCATTTAACAACGGAAACCAAGAAAAATCCCAACCAGTGTTGGGGTCCGTTGCCCAGGAACCTGAAGCGGAAGGGAACTTTCTTTTTTTGGAGGGGGGGGGGGGTGGGGTGGGCTGACCATGTTAGGAGGGAATCCAACAAAAGAGGAACTGCCCCAATACATGGTACACAAAACATGACATATAAAACCATACAGCGGGAGACCGCAAGATTCCCTCAACAACCGGGCATTTCGGCACCTCTGCAATGGCCTCTGCCGTGGCATCAGTATCCCGGGTCTCCCGATGCGATGGCAGCAGGTCTGCGGCAGAGCACAAGCGCTACTGTCAGTGGCGTATTCAAGTTACATACATTTCGAATCAACAAATATGACATGAACAGCTTAAGGAAGTTGGGAATGGTTGTGCGAGGTTCAAAGACAGATGTCCAGGTGCCCTGGCAAGCGCCCTTAAAAGACAGTTACTAAAAAGGGCACCTGCCTGGTGGTGGGCAGCTGAAAAACCCCTTTTCTGGGCTAGGCACCCGGGTTCGATGCCCTTTACTCATACCCAAGGGCTACCGCCATCGTTTGAAGCAACTCTTTGAGCTCTGAATGGCCAGTCGAAAGGACTTGTGAGACCTTGCACGTCCCGCTTGTTTTGGATTCCGTCTGAAACCGTCGAAAGAGGGCCTCAGTCTAACACCTAGAGAATCAGGCAACAGCATCAGTCTGCGGAGTTGGCAGAAACGAACGGCTAGCAACCGTTCCAGGAGAAAAGTATGACAAGCATCCAATCATAATATGCAATTTGTGCCTTCCAGTGACTTCTGCACATTTAGCCGTGGGCGTCCCGCACAATGCTGGCAGCAAGGTGGCCTAAGGAGGTTTCTGCTTGTTGTCTGGAAGTTGATCCTGCCCATCCAGTGCTTCCATTTCACCTGCAAAGTAGACAGCTAAGGGAACCACCCAGTGAAAAACCAAAAGGCAGATAACTAGCTGGTTCCCGACTAGCTTTGACTGGGATTCATCGGGCCGTTGCAGTCCACGATGACCTGCCTCCAACCAGCTCGCTGATGTGCTCCTTCATCCAAGACCTGAGCAGTTGCCAGGCGTTGCAAAAGAGCAAGTGAGTGCTGCCCTGGAACAGAAAAGGGAAGCCACCGATTTTGTGGAAGACACAACGAGGTAAACCCTAACCTTGGCCGACTCCGCAAAATGCAGCAGCCTAGGTTGATCTCAAAACTGCTCATGAAGGTGAGTCGTTTGATCTCCTTTGGACTCACCAGCTTCTCATTTGAAGGCTACGTCGTGAGGCAGTTCTGCCTCATGGCAACTTGGTCCAGCAGGCCTGTTTCCGTGGGCCAGTGACCCGGTGGCACTCGACAACTCTGCCCCACTGCATGTCCTTTGCTCCGACACACGGCACCTGTAGCGCCCCCCCCCCCCCCTCCCCGTCAGACGCCACAATGGCAGGTCCCTGATAGTCATACCAGGGATAAATACCCGGATATCTGGATCAAAGAGGATCTCCTGCGGCTAAAAAAAGGAAGATGCACCGTGCTGTTTGTTGAAAACTCTGAACGTCTATGACGAACCACGTGCTGACTACTCGGAGCCTCAACTACCAGTAGCAAAGCGTTGCACTGCGAGCTCAGAATGGGAAGTCCTGCATTACCAAGAAGGAGCGCTGCTAAACAGAAGAATAAGCCCGAAACTGAGATTCAACTCAAGCTTGACTGGGGCAACTCTCAACAACAAGCTACATGTGTGCAAGCCCACTCGTGGCTGTATGTCATCAGTGAGTGGCAAGAGGCATAAGATCAGCTGAATCCGGCTCGTCATGGGCCACTGGCTTGGCTTTGTCCGTGATGTGGCGTATCCTCAAAATGTTGAAGCGACAATGTGCAGGGAAGTGGATTGCAGTGACAGCCGTACTTAAAAAAAAAAAAAAAAAAAAAAAAAAAAAAAACATGCAACACCGAAGCCCTATCGACTTTTCGGCTCGAGGCAACTTAAGATGCTAAGAGAAAAGGTGGGCTGTGCTTAAGGGCGATGGTTCAATCAGATCCAACATGAACCGTTTAACCTGCCAGGACCAGGAGGCCAAAGCGGCCCAAGAATGAAACCCCTTTTTGTGGATCACAGCCGTCTTGGGGAACTCTTACCCCTGCCAAAACAGCAGGCACACCTCCTTTTGTTGGCTGACTGTAAAACACGAGCCCGGCCCAAAAAACAATCTTGGCAGTTTGCTTGTCACAATTCCCTTTGAGCTTAGTTGTACCACCGTAGGAACCAAGGCTTTTCCCACAGAACGGAAAGGAAGGGTGGACCCTACAGGGAAACTGGGCAATCCTTCTCGCCCCCTTTTTCAATCCAAGGGGCTGCTTCTCGAGCCACCCCTTCAGAGGATCGCCTGGCACTCGGCGGTGGCTGTGTGTGAACAACCCTGGGCTCCTTCAATTGGTTGGCCAGCTTCTGGTTTCCTTCCCACCGATCCCCTTTCAAGGCGCCTAGTTTTGGGTGTCAGGCTTCGACTTTGACACATACAAGTACTCCAGGCAGCTCAGTGCACATAATTTTGCACCGTCGCTTGGACTTAATTCCCTAAGAACAGCACTTACAGGGTACTTTCTCAGGGAAGCCTCGGCCGAAGATGGCAGGGTACCTTGGCTGTGACTCGGCCATTTACAGGGTACCGATGATGTCTCAATGAGGGAAGGGTACTCAGGATGAGTGGGTGCCGCTCTCAAGACTCACGATTCACGCTTGTTGGGCCTCACTGACGGAAGCCCCAGCAGCTATGTCTGAAACCTCACTCCTCTCCCTGGCAGTCGCCCTGAAACTAAGAAGAGAGCGATGTCTCAAAATGAATCGGCCAATCGGCCAATCGGCCAATCCCCCCTTTGATTTGAACAGGAAACCAATTAAGGCGCCCTGAGGTTTGAGACAAAACGACTCATCTTTCCAACTTGGGAAACCCAAGCGCATCTTCCCCGTCGCCTGCTTTCCCGCCGCCGCCTTCCTCGCCCTTGGCCTGCTGGATCAGGACGAAACCCCTTAATGGCAAATACTACCAAATACCACCACTACTCTTGTTCCGTAATCATGGAAGTGGACAGGCGGGCTTTGGAAAACTACAATCATCTTGAACAGGATCCTTATCCACTTCTATGTTTGTCGGAAAGGCAAACTTGGAACCTTTTGTGCTCTTGTGCGCCGAGCAACTAAGAATGGGAACGTGCCCAAAGATTGTGGCTAAGGGAAGGGGAGGATGAACAAAAGGACACCCTTGACTCCAATGCCAGTCAGCACCCTGGCAATCCTGGCACACAGCTTTGCAGGGCAACTGTTCTTGTGTTTTTGGCAACTTCCGGCAAGAGAAAGATCTTGCCGTGCGCGTGGTGCGTTAAAAGACGCTCAGGCAATCACGGGGGGGCGGGGGTACAAATAGGATGACAGATCCTTCGACAGAATTCTGGGCAAATGGGCTCCAATTTAGAGATGGCGTGCGAACCCCTTGGCAACATGAGGCTTGTTAATGCGGGAGTCCCATAATGCATGAATGTGATTTATTGTAGTTCAGCCTCGCAAATATGAACCCCAACAACGCCATGCGCATAGGATTGAAGTGAAGGCTGCGGCGGCATTCGGCAGAACAACCTCTTCACAAACTGTAAAGTCTACCGCTTTTTCTCTGCAAGCTAAATGGCAAACAGGAACTTACAGCATGACTGCAAGCATAGCAGCATATCACAGCAACCATGCAACCACTTTGGGAGGAAAGCCATCGAGCAATCCTGGTGGAACTCACAAACTGGAGACCCCGAAGACATGTGCGGTTCTCGTTCAGGTTTGTACAGATTCATCCGAAGGGCTGTCCCAAGTTTAAACATGGAGACAAACCCGGCAAAAGAAGCTTGCAGCCTGGGGAAGGCTCTGGGAAGCCAGGAAGCGACGTGGAGATGCCGAGATACCTTTCCATAGGACACGACCATACTCTGCAAAACAACTTGGGACAAAACAAGGACCATTGCCTTTAGAGGAATCTCCGTTTCGCGACAGGATCACGTTTTGGGTTCAACGCGGACTTGCAGGGGGCATCCATTTCATCGCCGAACCAGGTTCGTGCTCCAGCCTCGCGCGCAGCCTCGATTTGTGCGGGGCTGTCCGTCTTGGCTTTGTCTACCTCCTCAGCTTGCATCAAGCCATCCATTGGGTCGAACGACCCGATTTGTCAGCCGAAAGGCGGACTCCTTGGTCTCGTTGGCAGTTGGCACAGACGTTTTGGCCCTGTCCATTCGCTCCTCTCCTTAGCCGCAACGGGCTTGAAGATGTTTCACCTTCTTGCGGGAGACAATTCCCACTTGTATGACCATCAGCGAGCAATGGTAACTGCCAGCTGCCAGTCAGCATCCCAGCACCTGCGGAGGGCCACTCCATGCAAACCAACCAAACCAAACCAAACCAAACCTACTAAAGGGAACCCCCCGGAAAACCCGGAAGACACCGTTTGGACGCAAGAAATCCACCTTCATGACACCGGTTGCAAACCCAGTTTGTGAGGATGGAAAGTGCGAAGGCCACTTGTTGGCAGGAACACGGTGGTCCATCCCTTCGCCCAACGAGTAATGCTGCAAAGGCTCCATCTGTGCCCTGCTCCCGGTCCAAGCGATCCCGGGCCTCCTCCGCTGCATGGGTGCGGCTCAGCAGATTCCGCAGCATCATCTCCGCTGAGATGAGGCGGTTCTCATACGGAAGCGTCTTGCCTTGGATTGGGGTTCTCTGGCTTTTCCCTTCGGGTCGTTCTTGATGTTCTTGCAACCCTGACAAGCCCGGTTGCAAGGAGTGAGAAAATTTGTTTATAATGGACCTCCAGAAGCCCCGCAATAAACAGCGAAGGGTCCCCGTGGACAAAGCTCCTTGAAGGATGCATTCCGCTACAGTGGTGCGGACCCCCAATCAAAGGGCTGACTTCATTCCCGACAACAGCAAGAAGCACACTGTGCCAACAAATGCAGTGCACGAAGTCGCTGATGGGCACTGTGTAGGGCTCGTCCATCCGACGTATCCGAGGGTCCAACATGTGCGCTGGGGCACATGCGCGGAAAACGACCATTTGAAAAGACCAAATTGTATTTTTCCTGACTATAAAAATCAAACACTACGCAGTTTTCCAGGCACAAAGCAGCCCACGAGCTCGTGTGCATGCGAGGCGTCGCAGAGTCCAGGCCCTATGTGAGCTCCAGCTTAACTGCACAAGGCTTAGCTTGCGAGATGCTCTTGTCACGGTTCATCTGCTGAGGCTACCCAATTGAGCTTACCACTTACCGCAAAAAAAAGCCAAAGGTAAACCGCCCATTCTAGGGGGAGCGTTTGGAGACCAAATCATATCTCGGCCCGAGCTGCTCTTCCAATCTTAAATACGGCTGAGTGAAACCAATGGAAAGGCAGCTTATAACACACCAAATATGCAACGCTATTAAGCTGATCACGGCAGCCCTGGACAGGACGATTCAAAAACCTCCCGAACAAAATTTGTCACTTTGTGGGAATCTGAATGTTCCAAAAGAAGGGTACGTACGTCCCATGAAGCGATTGGACAGTTTTGGATATCGGAGATTGCCGCGGATCCAATCAGGCAATTCAGACTCCAGTCAACCTAGTCAACTTTGAACCGAGCAACCAAAAAACACAAACAAAAGGGGACCAACCACAAAGGAACTTCATCGCCAACGTCAAACGGGTTTGTCGCCGAACCAGGAAAGCCTCCAAATCAGTGTGTTCCCCTTTCTTCTCTTGTTGACAGCCCCAAAGCATTAACTACCCTCCAAACAAAGACACACCCAACTTTTACCTGAAATGTATCCACATCAGCTCGGTTGCTGATCACACACTCCTCGATGCGCTCGCTCATGTCATCGGACGCGCGCCTGCGCAACAGCTTAACACCAGCTTGGATGTACCAGCAAAATTGGCAACTTGACATGGTATTGTGAAACAGGAAGCCCTGACAAAGCAAACACAAATTGGCCACCCCGCTGGGTTTCCATATTGGCTGTTTAGCATCCAGAAATGCGGTGCCGGTTCAAGAGCTTGGCCTTGCTGTATACTTCGCCTTGGGGTTTTCAAAAGATCTTCGACTCCCGAAAGGTGTTAAAACTAGTTTTCTCTGTCTATCTGCCCCTCTCAAACCACATCCCAAAAAGTTTGGCCTTATTTTGCCTTAAGGCTGAAGCCCAAACTGTTTGGGCGTGTTGGGTCGTGGAGTTTGCGCAATTGGGACCTCTCAAGGGAAGCGTTTAAGCCACGATAAACACATGGCCAGCCTTGCTGCAATCATGTTGCTGGCGTCCGGAGAAAACATCCAACTGCAGCAAATCTATGTTTGGCTGGCCGCGGTCAATTGGAAACAATACAGGCGCAAATGGGTAAGCTGAGCATTCAATGAGAATCCGGGAATTTCGCCTCAACAGAATCCATCAAGCTGCAGCAAAACCAATGTGTCATGAACATGTTGCTGACCTTGGTATGTCGCAACAGCCGCGCTGTTGAGGTTGGGCCTGTCCCCATGAGTTCGCCCACCCAGGCTTTGTTGCAAAGGCTCTCTTCAAGCATCCGAACCTGACCCAAAGCTCTCCGGCCTGAGCATCTCGTGGATGTCCCCCTTCACGCTCCGCAGATCTGAGTTCAGGGAGCCCCGGACCTCCCCCAGTTGGTTCTCGAACCACTTGGCCATCTCGCTCTGCGAATGGAACCGCCCCTGGCGTATGGCGGTTGATGAGAGGGATCGCCAAACATTTTTTGTAGCTTTCTCCAATTCCCAGTGATCAAGCCGTCGATAAACATCCTTAATGCAACAATTGGTGAATTGTTCAAGCACTTCATGGACGCGCGCAGGTTGAAAACACTTCTGCACTTACCTTTGACTTGCTTCGGATCACTAGCTATGGGTGCTCACATTGGCTGGTGTTGGTTGCGGGGCAGCTTGTGCTTTTATTTGGAAATCCCCAAAGCTACACGCAAGTAGCAGGCCTTTTGGAAAATGGCCCCGGCTTCGGACCTAGACCCGTGCAAGCACTCGCCCGTGATAGGCCGCTAGCGCTCCGCATCATGAGCTCGCTAGCTACCGTAGATGTGTTCCCCCCAATTTAAGCCGCCAATCTGTCGAGGTCAGTGAAGCAGTTCACCTGATGAGGGTTGCTATGGGGTTCTGGTATCCATTTGCCTGAGGGCCACATGCCAAACCCGGGCATTTGGCCAAGCTCCCTGCCCGAGCCCATCCGACGCGTTCGCCTGGCCCCAGCTGCGCACCATCTGCGGCACCATCTGTGCCACATCCGCCGGCAAGCGGCTGCCGTCCTCGGCCATGGGCTCAACCATACACAGGTCAGAATCAACGGCTAATGGCTGGATGCATGTGAACTACAATCTATTTTCATGCTCCCAAGTAACATGAGTTGGTGAGTGACTCCATGTGCTCCATGTGCTCATGACATCTTGGTGGTTGTTGGCTGGCATGTGGCTGGTGTTCCCCAATTATGCCAAGAGTAAGCAAGTTGAATCCATTTGAAACAAGCAAAGCCACAGCAGGCCTTTCGGACGCTCAAGTTCAGAGTTGCTTGGCCCAGCCAGTTGTAAATCTGGGTCCAGCTAAGGACGCCCTGAACATTGTGAAAAAAACATGCACACCAAACATAACTTTGAAATTCCCTGTCCCCCAAAAATGGTCACTTTGACGGACCCAAAACACCAGGAAGAGGCGTTGCAGGATTCCGGGCTTTCGGGCGGACACCAGGCTGAAACAACGACGTTTCACTGCCGGAAGTTTTGAAAGGATAGCCCGTGACATCATTTGAACCAATGGAAGAACAAATGGCACAAAGGTGTCACAAACGGTGATCTACTGCCGTGCCAAAACCCGTAACTTCAGACAGGTGTTGCGCCTAACCGCGCACCGGGCGGCGTTGGCCAGGCGGAACTCCAGCTCTTCGATCTGCAGCGTGGATCGCTCCAGGCCCTAGCGGCACTGGCGTCACACGTTTGCTCAAGCCGTTGGTTCTAAGATATGTGAAATAATCACATAACACATGTGAGTGTGAATGGCATCAACTATGGACAACCAAGGACTTTCAGAAGTTTCTTGTTGCGTTGGGTGATAGAGGGTTTGTTTGATTGGATTGGTAATCTAAACATCGCCTTTGTTGCAGGTGTGTGGCAGCTCTTTGTGGGGTGTGCTGCGTCTTAGTGGTCCGTTGGACCGTGCGTGGAGGTTGGACAGTGTGATGCATGTGCAAACGTTGTCGTTGAACACAGCGCCGCATCCGAAACTGCCACAATGTTCTAGTTGCAGGGTTCTTGAGGATGGCGCACATGACTGTTATACCAAACGAACCCAAGCGAATCAGGCAGCCACTGGTTCGAGCAAGCAGTTACAACCAGTCGAAAGAAACAAACACACAACAAGCCACGGGCTCTGAACATTTGCTTGATGTGCTCAGTAGCTGAATGAGGCAAACACTACTTAAAACAATTTATCTTCATTTTGGTGCAAACTGTTCGTTTCCCTTGATCTGATTGATAAGTTTGTCATACATAGAGGTGGGTGGTTGCGCCTGCACCTTGGGCGTTTTGTGGGGGAGAGAAACGGCATAACGGTTTAACGATTTTGGCTGGGGGCCTCATCCCCAAATATCCCCAAATCACCCCGCCTAGGTGGGTTCTAGCGGACCTCATCTCAGATCCCTGTTTTTGCGGATTCCCCTCCCCCCCCAAAAAACAGAAGAGGCTGGTTTTCACATCAAGCCAAATGGAAGCCAACCATTTTGAGGGTGAAACTCCCCCACCCCCTCCACCTTGCGCCCGAGAAAAAAGGCGTGGGGCGCCTGGGAGTAGCGGCTGTCCATGGCGCTCAGCCGCTGCTCGAAGAGCCGCAAACGCTCGTCCACTGTGTCGCCTAGGTCGCGATGCAGCCCAACGCTGAAAGAGAATGAAATGACAATGCTACAGACAAACGAATACATTTCTATGTACGCATACATATGTATATATTATATATAGAGTTATGCATTTGAAGATCTGCAGCAATGACCTCTGTGATGAATCTGCTCAGAAAATGCACCCGCAGAACTCGAAAACGTGCAATCCACCTCAGGCAACCATCACAAGATGCAACAAAGATGCAAGGGCTATCCTCTTTCGCGCTCTGCTGGTTTGAACAGGACATCTTAAGCCAGTGATGCCTACCTCCGGCATCGCACCCGAAAGCGATCACAAAGGATTCATGTCTGCCAGGCCGAAGCAGCGGGCGTAGGGATGCGCAGGGATGCGCTGCAGCCAAGGAACTGATTTGTCTGACACTTCTGTGCAGGCTGGCCACTTCCTGGACGGAAGTTGCTGCTTTACAGTTGCATGGCCTAGATGGCGGCCGACCAATGGGTCAAATTGGGTTTAAGCCAGGTGGTGCTCTCAAACTGGGGAAGTGGTACAACAAGTGCATATTTTGCAGCAAGCCTCCTCAAAGCAAAGACTCCAACTAGTGCAACTTGACCTGAGAAGCAGTTCCTTGGAAAGTCAAACGCATTTCCAGCACGCTGGTTGTGCTGCTGAGCGAGGTGCCCAACTCGCATACAAAGACTATTCCGTCGTGACTCTCCAAACAAGACGGGAGAACCCTGGCAAGAACCTAGTCAGTCACACGTACCAGCAAAACACCTTGCATGGGTGATGTCGGGCAAAAAACTGATGGTGTCGGCAGTGGAACACACAATGATTTCGCGATTGTGGCACACGTTGAGCAGAACTCATGTGAGCCAATGGCCCCCCGCATCCCTATGCATGCTTCACATTGTCCAACCGGAACAAGTCCTCCAAATGGTCCCAAGTTTGTGTCTTCGGGGCTTCGCCTGCTGATGATTGGGGTTTGGCGGCAAACACATGGGTCAGTCCGTGGACAAGGACTCCCGCAGAGCTTTGCTGACGGCAGCCACGGCCACCCGCTCTGCCTGATGTCGACACAGGTTCAACCCAAGCTACATGCCGAACTACAGCATTGGTGATAATGAGGCATGACGATTAATTGATGATCATGGTGATGACAATGGTGGTGGCGGTGATGATGGCCAAGGTCTATTACAGACTATGTTCCAAAGCGGACAAACGACTCTCCTTTGGGGATGGGGTATCTGCTTGATGGGGAGAGGCAAAAACAGACTGCAAATCGGGCCGTTTCACAATACGCGACGCCCGGGACATTGTTCAACAAGAACCCAGGCTGCCATAAATCAATGAGGCCACTCACTTTGTCCCATTCGTCCGCTCTGGTCAACCGCACTGGCTATAATGGGTTTCCTGCTTCAAACAGGCTGCGTCACAGTTTGCAACATCCACGAGTGCAAACACAAGACCAGCTAACACAAAGCGAGCTATCCAACTGTCTGGCAGAAATCATTGACTTAGTCAAGCCGCCTTCACACATATTCGGAACACTTGTCTGCAAATATATGGTGCAGAAACAACTTGGAAGAGCGCAAGCGCCGTTGGTGAAATTGGAGAAAGCCGCGGGGCAACGCTTTGCATGCCAAATGCAATCCCGTGGTTAGGGCTGCTAATGACGTCTTCCAAGTGAATGCTCAAGTGGTCAACTCGTCCCCGCTGGTCTTAGAGAACGGTCTGAGCTGGCATGCGCTGCCTGTAAACAATTCTGAGGAAGATTAACCTCACACAAAATCAGGCTACTGCCCTCAAGTTTCTATGCTTTCATACAGCACGCCCTTTTTACCGCGAGACAGCAATGTCCGACAAATCTATGCTCACTTGACCTGGAGCCACATTTCTCTTGAAGGGGCGGGCTATTTACAACTCACCCTAGAGGCACGCCCCTTCGTGCAAGCCAGGGCTTGAGACCACAGCCAAGGTGCTTCTTGGAACAGCTCCGCATGGTCCTTCCAGGAACCAACAACACGCGTGCGAAGATCTGGCCCTACGGCTTTCCCATATTTCATCAGCCCGACAAGCGGCATGTTCCCCTTTTTGAGCCCCGAACAACCGTTAGGATCACTGAAAGTCAGTCATGTCAATGCCTCTGAAAAATGTATGGCTACCCCGTGCTAGGGCCCACACCCCGAGTGACAACATGCTGATCACCGATTTGCCGTCCAACGACGGGTCGGGGAGCTCTCGGAAGGCTGTTCCAAGCAAACAGGGCCGAATGGTTCTCACCAATTCTATCTAGCACCCTATGGCAATTCTCCTACGGCTCCGGTTGTTCATTTGCAGGCAAACAAATTCCCAGTGTACAACGCTATCCCTGGGCTACATATTTGTAGACAAAGCGGGACCTCTCCAAAGCGATCCCCAAGGTCTCCATGAACAAGCCGCCATCAGAACGATTTCACTTCAAACAGTCGAAACCTCAAAATTGTTTGTTTGCTTGTGGATTCGCTTTGAACTAAGCCCACAAAGAGTCCTCCAAACCGGATTCGGGACCCTTTGGCAGATGCCACCACGTGATTTTACATAGTATAGAACAGGTTAAACAACCGGGAAGGGTCACAATTGGACCCTGTACTCAGCGCGCTTTTTCCTTGAGCCACGTGCAGTCGTAATGATGAGACTGCACAAGTGAGACATGCATGCATTGGGGTTTACATGGTTGATAAATACATCACGTTGCAAACTACACCCCCCGTGCCCGAATGTGAAACAGGAGGACAAATGAAAGGGATGAGACAACCAAAGAAACCCGATAGGCATGATGTCATTTTGCAGCACACAAGCACTTGGATTTGAGCGATCGGTAGCTAAGGTCTTCCGCCTCCACTGACCGTCGCTCTCGCGAGGCGTGCTCATGCACTGTACATTGATCCTCGGCCAACATGATTGAGAAGTATAATGGAAATTGAATTTGAAATGTAAGTGGATGTCAGCCGAAGATAGAAAATATTGTCGAAGAGATCGCTCATTCATCGCCAATCCCAATTGCGGGAGCTCTTCCACGGGCGCTGATCATCAGACCACCACGAGTCCCAGGACTGGCCCCAACTTCCCCAGTACGACTGGCTCCATTGACGATCCTGCCATTGGCCACCGGTCTCCCGGAGCTGCGGAATGGGCTTGCGCGCCACACCGACAACTGCAGGGAGCGGGGTGGCCCGCCCAGGGATCTCGATGTTGGGGATCTCCTCTTCGACGAAGCAGAGCAACTCCACCAAAACCATTTCGGGGTCTCCCACAGACGAGAAATCCCGGGTCCAGCCCATCACGCTGTAGCGGTTGCTCTTGTCAAGGCTTCCGTAAAGTGCAGCAAATTGTTCTGGTTCCAGAAACCTGCCGCCATGCACAACGTAGACGTCCTTCGGGTCGACCTCCTGCACCTCCTCCGTAGGCGGCACCAGCGTTAGCCGTGCGTGATATTTCGGCACAGCCACGCTTCCTTGGATCATTTCCTTGGTTCTCACGAAATTCGGAATGATGCATCGTGCCACTTTCTCGATGAACTCGAGGGCGGACGGCGTCAGGTCTCCCCGCGCGGCAGTGTAGGCGTAAAAGGGGTCATTGATCAGCCTCTCGTAGAGCGTGGTGTACTCCTTGTTGCGAAGAACTGCTTTCTTGGCAATGTCCTTCATGATGCCGAGGCCCCCTCTTGCGCTTCGATCCCCCCGCGCATCCTTTCGCTGCGTCAAGATCTGAGTCTCAACCTGGTCCATGGACAACGGCACGCCCAATGAGTTGGCCATCTCCTGCAACCGGACGACCCTGGCTATCTTCTTGATGTCGGGCATCCGTTCCATCAACTGGCTGCACTGGAAACAGTTGATGGTGCCAACCGGGATGAGAATTTTGCAGCGATTGCACTCGACATCAGGGATGTGCATCACTTCGGCGAACCGCCAGTTTGTCGACTTCTTCCTGTTGGGGTCGAGTTCCTGCCACAAACCGCTCCGGCCTCGGGTTTCCCCGGGCTGCTGCGTCACAGCACGGGCCCAATTTCTGTAGAGGCCGTAGCGAGCAGTCTCGAACTCAAGCATGACTTGCTCGTCCTTCGGAAGATTTTCGTCGACGACATCCTTGACTTTCGTGATATTGCCGATGCGATGGGGCCGAGTCAAGTCACGGCACGCCGTTGGAGCCCATTGCTTGTAGTAGGCCTTGCATTCCTTCTCGAGGTTGGCCATGAAGGACTCCAGCACCGGGGTACCGACGACGCCTTTCTGGGTCTCTTCTCGGTACTTCTTGATGCTTTCCTGGTAGTTCCGCCTGACGCTGACGTACATCCGGTTGGACCAGATGAACTTGGCACATTCAGCGTCGTAGGCGTAGATGAGGACCTTGTTCGTGATCCAATCCTCCGTCACCAGGGCTTCCCCGTCTCCGGGTGCGTACAGCCGACACCCCAATTGGATCAACATCTCCACGTCGACGGCGATGTTGATGGGTCGGTCAGCACGCGCACCCCCCGCCTTCCGGCCATGCCTGTCCCAAGGAGGCACCACCGTTAGGTAGGCGTGACCACGCGAGGTTTGCCGGTCCCCCATGCCGCCCGGGAAGATGCCCATGTAGATGATGTCAAAGAAGTTCTGCATGTTGCACGTGTGGTAGGCGATCTTGGGCAGCGCCTTTCGGCGTGCGTCCGAGAAATCTTTGCAGAAGCCCGGTCGCACACCCTTCTTTGCGTGCTCGATGGAGTAGTTGACATCCATTGCAATGGGATCTCCAGGAATATTGTCAAAGCCACTGGCCTCAGTCACCCAATCGTTGTGGCCGGTGAACGCGCGAATGCGTAGGGGCATGAAACTGAGCCCGTTCCATTGCTGCCCGGCCGGCGCGTGCTCGATGTAGACCTCGAACCGATTCGATGTGGACGTGGCCTGAAGAAGAGTGTATTGGGAGCAGTTCCAGTCATATCGGCGCTGGATCCATTTGGCAACGGCTGCATAGTCGAAGGAGTTGTCCTTGAGATTGATCTCAGGGATGGATCGCGTCGCGTGTTCATGGGCATGTCCGCGAACCAAATACGACACCTTCTTGCTCAAGAACGTCCTTCTGCCATAGTTCTGGATCTGGGGAATCTTGATTCCTGAGCACTTGATCCACCGCCCTCTTGGGTTCAGCAGCCTGGCCACGGGTCTCCCCGGGCTTTGAAGCAGCTTTGGGAACTGCCTTCGCCTTGGGGATGTTCTCCGGGCCACGGGTCTCTCCTGGCTGAGTCTTGCTAGTCCCAGCCACGGGCGCCTGACCGCTGGATGAGGCAGCAG